TTTTTTGCATGTTATTTATTAAAAAAAAGGTTTTTTTGTAAAAGAAAAAAGGAACAAATAAAAGAATTATCCTCTACCCCTAAACCCCAACATGAACTTCAAAATGCAGAAAGCTGATAACTACACTGCAATTTGGAGACACTCTTCAATGTGGTGAAGCGAAGGGAAGAAGATATGAACGTAGCCAAAAGCTGAAACTCTTTATCCTCACGTGATTATCGCAGAACATGAATTCTTCAATGGCAAACACCATCGATTGGCTCCAACTCCCATAGCCCTTCTTCCCTCCAAAAACCCATATCCCCAAATTTTCCATCTTTTCACCTCGCTTTCTCACTAATGCATTTCTCCCTCGCAACTTCACAAATCGATGCAAACTCAGAATCAACGCTTCCAATTTTGTTTCCAACACACCCAACAAAGAGCAAGAACAAGACTCTGAATCCGCGCAACTATTCGAGGTTGGTCACAAAGGGAAAAAGGAACTATTTTAGGAAATTCTGGAAACTAAGAATTCAGTGTTATCTATATTGTGGGCAGTTTTGATTTATTATTTCTTCTTGATAGTGCAATGCAAATATGCAATTTTTTATATTTACGCACGTGTGCATATTTCGGTTGGAACTTGTGTGTTGATGAGAAAAGTGAACTGTGCACAGAAACTAAAGGAGGCGGAAAGGAAGAGAATGGATGAGTTGGAAGAGTTTGACAAGAAGGCGAACGTGCAGTTAGAGAGGCAGCTTGTGATGGCTTCTTCGTGGAGCAGAGTTCTGTTGACTTTGCGAGGAAAACTCAAGGGGACTGAGTGGGATCCTGAAAATTCACACGGGATAGAGTTCAGCGATTTTTTGAGACTTCTTGAGTCTATTAATGTACAGTTTATGGAGTACTCTAATTACGGTCAAACAATATCAGGTGGGGATTTTTCCTTTTCCTTTTCTTTTTCAGGAGTAGAAAAAAAGTAGTTAAATGAAAAAAAGTTTCTTAAAAGTCAAGTGCATAGTTTATTTTAACTTTTGTGAGCTGCTAGGTTTGTTTTAACTTTATATTTTCTTTTCTCATAAGTGCTTGTAGAGAAATTTGTCTTAATAGAGTCTATATGTTATGCTGGACACGAAACTAGGTTGCTAGTTGTGAGGAAGATGTTTACTGGGTATTATTAGTTTTATTTTTTGCTTGGAGATTTGAATATGTTGTATGAGGATGTTATGATAGTTAATGTGGATAATGTGACTCTGAGTTTAGAAGTTTAGCTGAGAGATTAGAGAAAACTCTGTTTTATATTGTATTTGCACTTTTTTCGCTTCTGAGTTTAATTTGGTGCTTTATGTGAAGTTCTTACTGTTGGGTTGAAAGTGTTAGCTGGTTGATGAAATTAGTTTGTGTTTATTGCCGTTTTTGTGCTGTCCTTTTGAGATAATCTTGTTTTGTTTATTGCGAATTACGTAATGAAGATATGGGGATACCATTTTTTTTTACCTGAAAAGAAAAAGAAGGTGGAGATATAAGGTTGGTTTGGTGGTAAAAGCTGTAGGGAGAGAAGAATAGGTCATGTGTTTAAATCCCGTCACTAATAAAAAACATTGCCGATTAAAAGAAAAAGAAAAAGGAAAAGAAGGTAGAACAGGGAAGTGTCAGCAGAATAAACCGCAGAATGGCATAATAATATCAATTGTCCTTCAAACTGCTCTTTCAACATTTAGGTTTGTTAAATTTGTGTTTTGTTGAGTTTGAAGGTTTCGTAAGCTTCCCAACAGGCAATGTGAAAGCATGCACAATCTGGCATTTTATCATTTTACAATATGTATTGCAATGTATTTTACAAAGTTATTGTTTTGGTGCAGTGCACTTTGGTCCATGCTATTGCTTCAGCCAAGCTATGTAAAGCTGTAGGTCTGGTTCAAATGTTGTTTTGCTCAATATTTGTTTTTATGTTTCTGCAGTTATTCTACCTTATTACAAAAACGGGAAAGTGATAGGAACTGAAGGGAATCCCGATGATATTATTTTTCGGCGTCATCCAGTCAATCGAATGCCAATTGATAGTTGGAATGATGTATGGAGAAAGCTACATCAGCAAATTGTAAATGTTGATGTCATTAATGTAGATGCTGTGCCTGCTGAAATATACTCAACTGTTGCAGTTGCTGTCATATGGTCTATGCGTCTTGCTCTAGCTGTTGGTTTTTACGTGTGGATTGATAATTTGATGAGACCAATATATGCAAAGTTGATACCTTGTGATTTGGGAACTCCTAGCCAAAAAACTAGCCAGCCACTCCGAAGTCGTGCACTAGGATCTCTAGGACAGAGTCGGTAAGTGGATAAATTTTCTCAATGTTTCCTGTTGGTTGTTGGAATTTCACTTTTTTAGCTGGCTGAATGTTAGGACTGTGGGAAAGGAGTTAGTTAAGACAATTAGGGTATCAATTATTTAGGGGCTAATGAGTTAAATAAGTCGGTGGATGGGGAAATGATTTCATTCTTTGGGTATCATTTATAATTGAGAATTAGCACTTTGTGAGTAAGAAATCCTTGGAGGAGAGATTGATCACTTATTCCTCCTTTTTATTCTACTCAATAAAATATTTTTTTCCTAAATCTGGTATTGTTGGAGATCTAACATCAACTTGAGATCCTTAAAATCCATTTTCTAAGATGGTATTAGAGCATATAAGAGCCTATCTTAATGAGATTTGTTTAGCATGTCATTCTACCAACTTTGAACAATCTCTATTCTATGCTCACAATGACTAGGGATATGACCAAAATATGAAATAGGGGTGGGTGTAAACCCTACTTTACTAAACTAGTTTTATGAGGCTGAGTTAGATTTAAAGTTCATTTTCTAATAATAACATTGATATTTCTCACTCAACTTTTTTTTTAATAAGATTCACATTTTTGGCATCATTATGAACATTAGTATTCCAGTTAGGTTGTGTTACGTATCCGTGTCGGAGACGTAACTAACCACGTTCGTAGGTAGAAAGATAACCCTCAACTCTCACAGTAAATCGATAGAATAGTAACTGAATAAACCTCTTTTATTGATAGAAATATCTGAATCAAAGAAAGCAAACAATAATTGGGAGCATAACCTCCTTCAATTACTTGGGAGCATAACCTCTCTCACAGGAGCATAGCCGCCTATCAACAAACTCAATAATCAAAAGCATGCCCTAAACAATAACATCTAGCTTTATTTATATTAAATATTTTCCTAGAATATAATTCTATTTACTATAATTAACTTCTACTAAATATTTCCCTAGGATATAGCTCTATTTACTATAATTAACTTATACTGAATATTTCCTTAGGATATAATTCTATTTACTATAATTAACTTATAATATTGTAACATCCCAAAATATACCATAATATTATATCATAGATTAATCACATATAATAATATGATAGATCAGTTCATAGAGAGTTAGTAAAGTATTTTAACAGTACAGTTATCCAAAATAACCATAAAACTAAAAACTTTACAGTGTAACATAAGTCTGATACAAAAATATAGACATAAACCGAACGGTGATACAACACCATGTATAAACCGATCGGTTTACAAAAGATAAGCTAAGCCCATTGACTGAACGGTCCATTCTAAAACTATATACAACTGATGACCAAGCGGTCCTAACCTAAGCAACAGGATCCTCGCCTTCCAACGCTTGCTCCACCGAACACTCATCGCCTTCTGCTCACATCCATAGGATGATCATTGCAAAAGAAAAGGTAACCGGACGAACAAAACAAGACAAAACAAGAAAGTAGGGTAAGCTAATGTAATTTAATTATAAACACATCTATACATTTCATGCAATTTTAGTCGGTACGAAACCGAACGATACATCATGCAAACACTGAATACAGATAATCACATACACACCGAACACCACAGTTCACACACACACACACACACACACACACACACA